TGATATGAGAAACATTACATCTACTTGGTTGACAGTGCAAATTATCTATAGTAATAGAGGTCCGGTGAAAATGTGAGATTTAATATGTCTCCAATACGAAAAGAATACTAATGCACCAAAGTTGTTCACTAACTTGCGATGGAGGAAGTACCTGGCATAAACCATCAATTGATGGATTAATTGGAAATATTGGGTCACATAGATGAGAGAGGTATTCGGCTGCTGTGACCGCTAAATCGGTCCGTTTAACTTCAATAACATATGATCGGCAAAAAATATTATTGAAGCCGCAAAGCCAGTTTTAAAATAATCTTCAAATCAATGAGATAATGACTAGTAGACGAGACAGTATTTACTTATTAGTGGTGTGCTCAATCGGAATTCATTCATTTACTGGAAGAGTTGTATACTTCCACCGGTGCTATGTTAAGAAGCGGGCCAGCCTAAAACTAGATCGTATACGAAGAGAGGCTGGGTTTCGAATAATCTCTTAATAGAATTCTACTGGCTTATCTTTCATGTAGTCTGAAATGGCGGGTGGAATTGATTTGTAGATTGGCCTCACCTGATGCCGAAGGAGGATTACCTTGAACTTGCTATGCATTTTCTGGGGGTCGTAAGACGGTGAGCCGAGGTCTTCGCACAATTAATCAGTCAAAAGCCCAAGGTAACTCTGCTTCGGTATCCAGTGCGTCTAATCTACGAATCCCTTCCACTCGCCTTCTCAAACGAAATGAAAAGTATGCCATCCTTATAACTTTCTTTATTTGATTTGCCGAATTTCTGTCATCCCTCTGTCCAGGCTCGCTGATCCTGGCTGCCCTACTTTACGTATGGCAATTTCCTCATTTCATGGCGCTTAGTTGGAACTTGCGAGCCGAATACGCCCGTGCCGGCTATGCTATGACTGCAACTCTGGACGCTGGTTTGTGTCGCCGCGTCGCCCTTCGACACTCTCTAGGCACTGCTATTGTTTGCCTGGCGGGAGCAGGCTGCAGTGCAATCAGTCTAGGTCCTTGGGCTGGAGCTTCGCTCGGCATGGCCTGCCTGCCTGTCAATATAGGTCTAATCTACTATGCCTGGCAATTTGCCCGACCTCTTCAGACAGGTGAGTAGGCTGACAAGTCTCTGCATATTCCTTTATGATTATTAATTTATTCAGCTGGAACAGAGCTCACTCAATGAAGAATATTTTCACAGTACATGCACTATCCCTCAAAAGGGATGATTTGTCCTATCTATGCTAAATAAGCATTGTTTAGTGTCGTAGCTAGGAAGACCAATATCGTTTGACCTTTTGTTTATTTATTTTGGTATGTAATTTACTAACAGTAAATCAGTAATATGAGATGTATTCACCCTATTTCGTTTAAGGTGATGAAGGACTGGTAGTAGAATT